CCAGCGTTTGGCGTATTTGTATTTCGCGAAGGAGTATTCGAAGAGCAGCTGGCGTCGCCGCGGGGTCCGGTCCACGACTCCCCGTGCGATTCTCCGGCAAGTTCGGAATGGCCCGATTGTTCAGGGGTATCGAGGCAACGGAATCATTCTGGAGGAAAAATAATTGCGCGAAATATGAGCGTTAATGCGCAGCCGCGACAAAAGCGACCCACGGCACGCGTGAACGCGACGCGACGCCTCGCTTCGCGCTTCGACGCCTCCAATTAACAATATTGTGATTTGATGGCAGACGTGTTGAACGTAAACGTTAGATTGCTGCAGTCGTTGATTATTCCCCGTCACCTTGCCTAGCTGGAACAGTTATCCGCTCCGAAACCGTCTTTCGCACGCGTCGACGCAATTAGAAATTTAACGAGGGCTAGAGGATGCGTCTGAAAATAAACAGAAACGAATACGTCGGCCTGACGATTCAAAATCAGGTAGACGCGAGATGTTCCGCTCTATTTTCCCACCGTTTACATTTTCCTCTTCGATAGGTGGACTCACGTGCACCGGAAATGCGTAAGTAGGCAGATGAGGGTTTGCTCCCGATTCGAGGCACGAGGGAATCACGATTTATTTGTGGATCGATCCTAAAAATACATCGCGGGACATCCAGGTTTAACAATAGCCGCTATAAATGGATTATTAGGCGTTAGAATTGCGCGCAACACCTGACACGAGTGCCAGGAGGGCCAGGTCGGATACTCGCACTCACGTCAGCATTCCTAAGGGCCTTCGTCCGCAACGAACAACGAGGGAGATCCCATTTTACGCGTTCTGTCTGCCACTCCAAGGATCGGCTAATATTTTACCTGCGCCGCGGGACAAAAAGTGTTGACCGAGGCCTTCGCCACCGAATCCCACGGAAAACCTTGTGCCAGGAATATCTGACCGAGAATCGCGCTCGAACCGACGATGAACGAGATCTTCTCCTTCCAATTGTATCGATCCTACGATTCTACATACGGTGATGCACGTTTACGGTCTCTCCAGGCGTTAAAAAGGCCTAGCGTTTAGAATTATTCGATCAAATCTGTATGTAGAGGGTTCGAGTACTGTGGAACGGCGAACTTGACGTGGTACCACGGTAAATACCTTTGCGTTCAGTGTTTCGACTCCAGCATCCACCGCGAAACGCTATCCATTTGTATGGGGCGCAGAGGCGGGAAGCATCCTTGGGACCGCTCCGCAGCCGATCCTAATCTGCGCAGCCGCAAATCCATTTTGCAGAGTAACAACTATCGAGGTAACAAGATCACAGAGCCGATTCTCTACTCTCCTGTCCCTGCAGCATCTGCGATCGACCGCTGCGCGCCCCGGGCACCTATACAACCGAACATCCGGTGTGCATGACGCGCCAGACTCGTTGCATCCTAGCCAGTCTCGCCACATGCACACGCGTCCTGCCCCTGGCATCATCGGTTATGTGGATGTATATGCATGACGCGTTGCGAGCGCGTTGCAAACAACGCGGACGCGTTCGATCCGCCAATCTGATCTAAATACGTCCGAGACGACGGTATCCATCGCGATCGAACCCAGACGATTCCAAAAAGGATTTTCTTCGGGGCTGCGCGTATCCTGCACGCGATCTTCCCGCGAACTTGACCCGTTCCCTCGACCCTGAAAACTTTGAGGGACGTGAAAATAGAGCAGAACCGACACTCGCCTTCCTGTTTGTCGCTACCGTGAATTTCCACCCTGACTCGCAGGGAACTGCGACGATCTAGATCTTCGATCAACACTTTGTGCACTTGCTTTGCTGTATGGGGAACAAATTTTCCAGTTCTTTATTCGGCATAGAGTAGTTGGAGTTTCTGTGGTTTCCAACTTTTGTCGTTGGTACTTTCAAGGGAAAGATCTAAACTGTACCTTTCCCATTTTAACGTGCTTTTGTGGAACCACGAAGGACTCGTTGTAAAACATTAATAGTAAACGCTTGGTAATTGCAAAGACACGTCTTCTATTTACTGTAATCTTGCAAATGAAATTAATATCAGCCTGCAAGTTGATCCGAGTGGCTGGCTTTGAAGCGGAGCAGAAGCGATTTCGATCCATCATCCTGGGACAAAGGGATACCGAAGGAACGTGTTGTTTGAAGGACGTCGGCGCTCGATCCATCTTTGAGTTCGTGATCTCGTTCCAAGGATGAACGAGCAGCGCTGCCGCGTCATTATTTGTTAAATATTCGAAAACTTGGAACGATAGTTCGCTTAGTGGGTTTGGAACAACAAACCAGAACGGAGTTTGCATAGCTCAGATGGGCCATCGAGCAAGCAAACGCCGGCCCAGATGTTTTTCTAACACCCTGCCTGGGAACCAGAGTCGTGGTCGAGATTTCTCAGAACCTTGATCGAACGAAACTACTGAAACGAATGGGATACACCAAAGCAATTCTCTGGAAAAATTTCTTTCTATTCCGATAGAATGAAAAATTTAATTCGATGCAGATATATCAATGTTTACTGTTATGTCACGATGTTGTGCATCTTGAAGACCGCGTCTTTAAAACAACAACCATCGTGGATCCTGTCTTCGTGTCGTTTACATCGTCGGAAGCAATATTTAACAAATTGCTTTCGTTCCCGTCGTTTGGCTTCTCTGCTCCGCGGTGGCATAGTAGCATCCCGTCGAGGATTAAGTTGACGCTCGCAATGCGATCGCTTATGGCTTCATTTGATGAACCAGGGACAATGGAACACTTTGTGATAGGATCTGGCAAATCTTGCATTGTTGCTGCAAAAGGACACGATAGTAGGAGGGCCACATATACAGAGAAGAACGGTTTAATTTTCTATCTAGACGCAATCCGTGTATATTCTTATACCGTCTACATAAATTCCATGTATAGCTTTGCAGAAAATCTTTTTTAAATTAACATAGATGCACCCTTTCAAAGGGCAAGGTTAGAAAAATCGAAAGAATGAATTGTTCTAGTCGAGCATTATCTCGTGACAAATTTCTTGCTTCAAGACCTCAAGACTGCTCGCTATCGATCGATCGATTCCTGGTATGCTAATGTCAGGATTTGATTAAACATCGTCACTCCCATTGTGAACGGAACATCGAAGAAAAGTTGGAGGAAAACAGATTATCCGATTACCAGGCGGATTTGTCTTATGGATTTCCAAGCAACAGCCTCGGAACAAGTGTGTTCCCCATTAGTGGAGATTTACAGGCAGAATTATTTGCCATAAACAGATCGAACGGCGTTAAGCAGGAACCGAGTGGAAAAGTCGTGGATAAGCGACGGGGACACGATTCTCTTGCGGATAGAGCTATCCTTCGTGTAGAGGTAGCCATTTATTTGTAACGTTTAATCGAAGTGTAAGTAAGTAAGTAAGTAAGTAAGTGTTGCTACTTTGCAAGCTTCGTTCTGCCCGTATCTGATCTGAAAGAATTAGATACGTACATTACGTATAAGAAAAAATATCTTGCGTGTTTGGAGAATCATAGAAGGTTTCCTGTTCCACTGCAAGAATTATTAACAATGTATACTGCTTAATGCTACACTTTATACATCAGCCCTATCTGACACGTTGTAACTGGCATCGATAGCATCTAGCATCACCCCCTTTGGAGAAAAATAAAAGTAGCTGTGTATTTGAATGTACACGTATTTGCACTCGCATATATTTATCCTCGAGCGAAGTAGAAATAAAGCAACGAAATACAACAGAATAATGAAAACTCACCGCGTCGCAACTTGGGCCGTTGTTAAACTTTCGCAAACGAAAGAAAAAAAAAGTAAAAACATCCATTCCGTTTCTTCGATGGTAATTTTTCTATTTATAAATATTGCAAGGAGTCGCATCGTAAAGCGCGTTGCGTCAAAAATGTGCCGATTACGAGAAATTGTTGGCGACAGCGCGAGCGAGCAGGACTGTTAACAGAAATTTTGTTCGTACGTCATTCCTCGTTATCTGTCCTATTTGTATGCTAAAATATTTTGGCATACGATTTCTCGACTTGTTATCAAACCCGAAGACAGGCCTATCTAACAGGACTATCTAAAGAGACGCGTACGGGTCTGAAAGTATGGTTCGATTAGCGGTGACTCCGCAGAAACGAAGGAAAAACGCTAAAAGAAGATCCATATTTTAAAAATAAATGCAAAATTTCGATAACGACACAATAATATTTATTATATTCGACGCAATTGCGGCGTTCATCGTTTGAATAACAAATTGACGATAACTATGGACGCTGTTGTACGAGAAATATAGACGCGAAATGTTAATCTCGTCATATTGTTTCACCTTTTACTCGATTACTTTCAACGTGCACGATCCTTCGACGATCTATCGTTTATACCATTTCCTAACGAGATCTGTATCTTTGTATCGCGGACTGGCAAACTTTCCACGTATTTTTCGCGCAGCGTGCGGCAAATACTCGGTATTCCTCGCGTGGTATAACTTAATGGGCACGGCAGAATGTTTGTTACCGGGACAAACAATATTCTCAGGCTCCTCGCGTTTTCCATCGGCGCGCAAATACACACGGAATGTTTGTGTCAACTTTTGCATTTTTCTGCGCTTCGTGGAAGTCGTTGAAACAGCGAGAAAAATAGCTAAGGTATTCGTGTCAAGATTACTGCTGTGCACTCGTATATCGAGGCATCTATCAACACGGTGACATCATTATCACACTGCCCGAACACATTTCAAAGCTAATTCGATGCGTTCGATAATTTATTATGCATTTCGGTGGACGCATAAGTAGTCGCATAAGTAGTCGCATATCGAGTTTTCACCTCGATGTGGAAGCAATTGCTCGATGGACAATCTTTTCTGTATGCAAATTATTGGATACCTAAACAGATGGAAAGAGAGACTATAGCAGACCCAGGTACTCGGTTGCCTACTCGAAAGAATCGTCTAAATACGATTACTCCAAGAAATGTACTTACACGCGCGGCGATACGGAGCAGGTAAAATTCACAAAGAGCTGGTTCATGGGAACAGAAACTTTATTCAACTTCAATTGCATCCAGTGCGGCAGTTCCGCGCTGAGAATCAAGAGAGACAGTTCGACAGTTCTTTTTTCATTGCGTGAGGTGATCTTTAAAAAACAGTGTCTTATTTGCTTACGGAGCGACCATACCACGATCTGTCTTTGCATATACGCACTGAGGTGTGTAATATACGTCGTGATACATCTCGGTTATACGTAAGCACGTATATATAGGTACATATACATACATACATACATACATACAGCAAGGCGAGGGATATACCTTCGTACACGTTTTTCATACCGTTCCAAAACGATACACGGATGATAATAAAGATGAGCTATATTAAACTTTAAACGATTTATATTACACTTTGAACAGCCGAGTTCGCTTCAGTCTGATGCAATGCCCACACAATTTGGAACCCCATAACGAGTATGGAATCACGTATCGAGCGAGACATCATCTCGTGGCTTCTCTTCTATATTTACAAGAACCTCGAGACTCGCGAGTAGAATGCCACGATTGGATAAAAGAAAATACACCAGAAGGCAGCAATGACAAATCGAGCAACACCTCGACGAAGACCGATAACGTTTGACGCACAATTTCTAAACCAACATGGCGTTGCTCGATTCGCTAAGAAATTTGAGTTTATATCAAAGTAAAACGTTTACAGAAATAAACAAAAATAAAAACATCGCCCCCTCCTTTATTTGACATTTCTGGCCGTGCCACTCGTAATCCCACCACAAACGCGTAGCCGCGCATCGAGTTCCCATTGGTAGAACTCGATTGGACGCGCGAGACGATTGGCGACTACTCGTTCGACGTGGTACGAGTTCTTTCGAGGCCAGCGTACATTACCAGTTAACCTTTTGCGATAAGATTTCTTTCTTTCAACAAGACCAACCGAGCTTCTTTGGGAGAGCTTCCAACTTGGAAACATTTTCCTCTGGAATCGTCGCAACATCGCGAAAGGTTAACGATTGGAGCAGAAGGATCAGGTTCCCAGCGAGCGTACGCGTGAAATTCTACCCTCGAATCTCGGAGCATACCATACATTCCTTATACATTTATTTATATAATACACATATATTCTTTCCCTAACACGTGTTGCAAATGGTACATGGAATTCGAGTGCCGGACTCGAAACGGAACGTCGAATCTTTGCGAAAACGACGTGGGAATTGATTGTTCGTTACCAATGTTCACGAGGAGACCGCGTTTAAGATTCGACTGATAACGCTGACCACCGTGCGACGACAACTACACTAATGTTCAAACCCGAGGTTAACGTTAAGTTGGCATATCGGAGGAACTCGACGATCTCGTTATTTGGCACGACTAGTCAGCCAGAAGGATTCTCTGCCTTCCTTCCTTTCTTTTTGGAGCCTAGACCCCGAAGAGTTCGTTTCTTTCTCGGAACGAAAGGAATGTCCAAAGTCGAAACTCGTTTCCCGTCAGCTTCGTCACTCGTTAGGCTCGCTGTACGAAGGTACGGGGACGATCCAGGACACTCGGAGCACGACGACTAGGTTCTACGGGCCATTAGACGCTGGATCCGGTACTCGAGGCGGCGGACACGTAGTAACTCCTGACTTGCAGATGATTGTGAATGTGTAATCCTGCTAGCTGGGGGCTGGTGTTCTGTATACCCTGGTTGGTCCAGTGGCCGTCGGGGGAGATGACTTTGGCGTCGGGACTGACCGACGGGGTGTTGGGCGACGGGAGAGCGTTCGTTTCGGCGACGACGTCCACGTCCACGTCCTCTTCGTCCTGGTCAGGCTCCTGGAGATCGTGGAGCTCGTCCTCGCTGCAGCTGAACCTCCTCGACTTGACGGGCCTGAGATCGGATTCTATCTGATGTTGGTCGTCAGGCGCGAGCAGGGACGCGACATCGAACTGTCTCTTCCTCGTGGGTTGAAACGACGACTGTCGCAGCGATTGACTCTGAAACGTCTGCTGTTGGCCCTGCTGTTGCTGTTGCTGCTGCTGATGATGGGGATGGTGATGATGAGGCGTCCAGATTCCAGGTATGGGCTGCGACGCGACGGGTCCAAGGGTTGCCGGCGGAGGCGGAGTGGCGGGCAAAGGAGGTGGACTGGGGCTGTCGGGCTCCTCGTCGACCGCCAACCCCATGTGCCTGCGGACTTTCCTCTGCGCCTTGCGTCTACGGAAATCACCACGTCGAAAGTCCTCGAGATTGGCAGGGTGGATGGCCCAGTAATGACCTTTCCCGTTCGCGCTTCTCCCAGACTTGACGAAGCAGTCGTTCAACGACAGATTGTGCCTGATGGAGTTCCGCCAACCTGGGCCGCGGGTACGGAAGTACGGATAGTGCTCGAGGATGTGCTGGTAAATGTCGGAGAGCACCAACTTCTTCTCGGGCGACGACAGGATCGCCATGGCGATCAATCCTATGTAGCTGTGTTGAGGCTTCGGCTCCTCTGGTATTCGCTGATGATGAGGATGCAACAGAGCCATGGACAGAGCCAATCTACTCGGGTAGCCCGCCGCGGCAGCCGCCGCCGGGTACAGAGGCAGCGGTGCCGGGAAACCAGGACTCATCCCTAAGTGAGCAGAAGCACTGGACGGCGGATGACCGACTCCTGGATGCTGAGGATGCAGCTGCTGAGCCAACCTCAGTCGCTCCGCCATCGCGTAATGGTACAATTGCAAACGATAGTGTTCGAGACCAGGCAGAAAGCCTGCCATTGGATTGCCCAGACCGACGGCCAGCGGCTCCTTCGACGGAGGAGGACTCTCGTTGCTGCACATGATCGCTCTAGAGAAAACAGGCTTTGATCTGTTCCTCTTGATTGGTAGAAGTCTATCACTCGGTGATCAGGGCTTTCCCCACGCACGTTTCACATTAAAACTTCACGATCGGTTGGTCTCTAGATCCATTCGTCGATCCGAACAGGTGGCTCGTGTCACTGGGAACGGTTCGCGCGAACGTCTCCTGGCTAACGAATCGGCCCGATAGAAACGAAATTATAGATTGCCTCGTAGACGCGATCGATCCCGAGGTCTCGAATGTTTTCCAACGGTTTTCAGGCTGTTTGTCACGATGCGCTTCGAGCGACCGACTGGTCATGATTTACGATTCGGCCTTCTGCCAGGAGCACCGATGGCTTCTCCCCACTAGGTCCTCGGGGAGAAACGGCAAGCTCCGCCCGTTTACCCAGAACGGTGTACGGGTTTCAGCCTGGAAACCAGAACCCGTGTACCGATTCTCCGACCAATAAGCACCGAGGAGGGCGGCCGAAGATGGAACCCTCTGCCATCCGCCACACCTACCACGATGGATATTGATCCTGCATTCCGTAATCTACCACCCGGGGGCGGTGGTGGTGACGGCGTCGCCTTGTGTGATGGTGCTGAACTGACGCTGTCGTTGTCTCTTATCTGGCCAGCTACAAAGCTCGATATCATACCCGATCCCGTACACCGACGAGTGGACCACCGATCCCGTTTCCTCTTTCCTCGGGAATCGTTCGAGCAGTGCCAGTTCGTTTAATAGCTGCCGAGCCTCGACTATAGCTAAACAAGAGCCGCATCGTTCTGGCTACGTCAATGGGTAAATGATGTTTCGTCAGTTTCTTCCTATTCGTGTGGAGTAGAATTTTTTTTCTTTGAGTTGCTGACTTACTTATCCTTGGCCACTCGAAATAAGCGTTTTCTTCATTTCACTCGTTTACGCACATATTTTGTAAACTACATAGTCAAAGAATCTTGCTCCAAATTTTCCACACGTTATCATTCATTGATTCCCGTTACGCAGAATGGAGCAGAGTAAATTCACAAAGAACGAGAAGCATGCTTTAACGACTTCTACCAAACCAACAGGATAATAGGTAACGCAATGATTCGACGATCGATGTTTCGTACCCTCCAGACCGGAGCATCCCCATAGATGACTGTAGAAAATAAATCGAGTCTTCGTGTCGACAGTCAGCGGGGTAGTTTCGTAGGGGAGGAATTTCGACGGTTCTTCCCTTCGCGCAACACCGAGACTTCTTTCAACCGAATCCTTTTCGTCCTTGCTCGATTCGCGAACAAAAGGAAAAGAGAACGGCCGCGCATTTATATGGAGGCGCCGCCCTGCAACTATTTGTAAGCATCCGCCATGCTGGTTTCATATCTGCCGTTTCGGCTTGCACAAAAACACTATTTTTCAGACCGGCCCAGCTGCAATATGGCGTTTACGAACGCTGCCTGCGTGCATCGACTCCGATTGCAATTGTTGCGTTTCATTGCAAATAACAGTCTCCGCGCCCCACCTCGACCCTCGTCCCCCGTTCGTCCCTCTTCCCCGCCCCTCATCCATCGTCCTTACTCCTCTCTATTCCCATGTTCTTCCGTTTCTATGTACCCCGTCCACGGAAATACAACGTTGCATGGTATCAATACGAGCGCGATATTCCCATGACTGGTCCTCGTTCTACATCGGTACCTTTCAACGTGGATATCGGAGCAATTCGAGGGATGAAATGAAGGATAATAAGAGAGGGAAGGCACTAGTCTAGACAAGGCTGTCTCAATTCAAATAAACACGAAGATTTGTTTCTTCCTTCATTTATTTAAATTGCTTTATTTTTTAACTTAAAGTGCTGATAACGAAATCGAAATATAGTTCGGAGTGCAAAGGGTTAAATATGTCCTCATAACGTTTCGTTTCACGTGATGAAGATTGCGCACCCCTTGAGTGTCCACTCTTCTCCTGTGTCCTACACTACGCGTAAACAAACGATCGCCGCAAACAAGAAACCAATTGCTCGATAGCGACGAAACACGAGCGGAACTCGCGCGATGGACAAGGTGAGGTGGGAGCTAACGAAGGATGCCAAAGCACCGTCCTCGAAGAAAGAAATCGGAGAAGCTGTCAATCGAGCGCCATGCATCTGCCACTTACTCGGGCGCACCGCCACCCTCGATCGTTACGGTACCTTTTTTCCCCACAATGACGCTCCATTTCGTCACAATTATCGCCATTATTCGGCGCGAGAAGAGCATTTTAGCGACGCCGCACAATGGACCGGTATCTATATACATTCCAACTTGTGTCCGCGTGTATGTGCACGCTCGGATGACCGCGTAGACCCACCAACACGCTTACCAGCGGTCGTAGGTTACGTCCTCGAACATCGATTCTTCCTTTGGTCGCGTTTTATTGTGTTTTGACAGCCCCGAGTCCGGTTGCTCGTCCTCGTCTCGTTTCCCTGGCTACTGGCCACCCCGAGACCGATCTTATCCCTCCACCAGTTCATCGTGCGAAACCGCCATGACACCTTACTCTCGTTATCCTCGCCTTGACTGTCGCAAACGTATCTGATCGGACCAAATATAGAGTTACTGGTTCACGGGGGAAAAAATGGTCTCTAGTCTATTTGGGATCTTTTGGGGCTGCTTCGATCTCGTTATAGTTGGTCGTTGCAAGGTTTAACATTCATTTCTCGAATCAGGATAAGATCGTACCTTGAATATCGTAAATTCTGTCGGTCAAAACGCGTCTTAAATAAGATTCTCCGAGAGACACAGTGGTTGTAACCTATGAATAGCCGTGCCCTTTTTCGCAAGATACGAATCTACCACGTGATTCACGTGCACGGACGACGGCAACCCCATTTCCAACTTAACCAACCGCTTAAGCACCTCGCGCGAGCGACAAAAGGGTTTCATCCCCGAAAGTCCCGGGACGTACTGATAGATTACACAAATGCTCTTTGCGGGAACAACATGGGGGAAGAGGGGGGGGGGGGGGATTGGAGCATCAACAGAATCCCATCGACGGTGGTTATCCTGAAATATTCATCCGAAAGTTCGCTGTCGTCGGCGACATTTGACGGTACCGCGGCTTTGATCTTTTATTTTTCATCGACGATCGCCGAAAAAGGACGATCGTTCATTTTGCTATCCCTCTGTCCGGTCTTTGCAATCGTTAATCCCCGGGAAATTGATAATCTCTCGCGTTCGATGGCCAGTTCTTTTCGAAATATCAAAGATCCTCGCACGAAATTTAACGTTTTATAATTTAACCTCTGTTTCATTTATTTTACGTGTTGACCGTCGGTCTTGCCAGACTTCTAGCGACACGTCTGAATTAGTCAACGGCTGTGTACTCGAAGAAAAGGGATGCCAGAAGCGTGTCAAAGTTGCGAGTCACCCGAGTGCGTGGGGCAAATTAAGTATCGGGACCACGGTCCCTTTTGTCAACGAAAAGAGGCGCAGAAAGGAAAAGAGTGGAACGAGAAGGTGGCCAGTTCCCATTCAGGGTGCGACTCCACGCCCATCGTTTCACCACGACAATGGCCACTGTCCGGCAACAAAGGCTAAACACCCAAAATATTGGCGAAAATCCTCCCGTTCCCTTGCGGTCGCAAAGGATGCAAGAAACGAGCTCGAAGAGAGGAGAGCTGGTGGAAGAGAGAAGGGTGGAAACGGTCGAGCTAAATATCTCGAATTTAATCTATCCCGCTCTAATCCTGTTACACGGCCAAACGGTCACGTTTCAGCCGCAGCGAGGACCGCGACCGGAATCAAGAAGGTGCACTCGTAGATCTCCAAGACTTCCGCTCCGTTTCTGACGCGCCCACGCGGCAACGCGAGCCTCTCGACAATGCTAAAATCTCGTTTCAACCTTCCCTCCGCCATTGGTCCATTTCTTTCGGCATTAGCGGCCTACCACAATGGGGGGCTCGCGTTTACCCCCGAGGAGTCTATCGCGCTTCGTTAAACACGAAGGACCACCAGTGTAAACACAAATGGCATCCCGCGGAGAGCTCTTGCTTCCGCTTTCGAGTGGCAATTCGTTATTTTGTCGTTACGCGCGTCGTCGCCTTTTCGAGGGCACTCGTTTCGAGTACCGCCACCTCGTCGCCTTGAAAACGAACTGCTAAATAGTCGTGGCTGATTTTAATCGGCGCTTCGGGTATGATAGTCTCTGATGTTCTGGCTTCTTCGAGAGCCGAACGACCCTTTGACATCTTACTTTGACGTGTTTGATAGCTCGACGAGTTGCGCGCGATATCCGAGTGAAATATTTTCGGTGTCAAGCGATCGATGGTTCCCGGAAAGAAGGTTTCCTGAAATCTCGTGGAAGCAGGGAAGCCCAACGGGACCGGTACGATAGAGTTTATAAATTATGAATATTTAAGCGTAGGACGGCGCCGAGCTTCATGGAAACGATATTTTCCTGCCTCGGTGCAATAACGTCGCGTAGCGTAAAAGGGATGCTTAGGAAACAGGATGGTACACGTCGCTAAAACGGGAGCATCCCTTTGAGAGGAGCGTCAAAGCTAATGGACCTTCTCTCTTCGGTGTCTACATTCTATCGTGTTTCTCCGCGCCTTGTTGGTGCCTTGTACTCTCTTCCTTTGCGCATCCCTCGACGTTCCATCTTCTTCTCGCTCCCGTTTCCTCCCTGTGCCTCGTTACAAAGGGGGTCAAAAGGGGCGAGTCCCAGAAGCCCTGCTAATGTTTAGTACCAGTTGATTGCAAGCTCGTTAGTATATGCATAAAGCATCGTTGTTAAATGCTCTTTCTCTTTGCACGGGGAAGGCGGGGAGAATTTAATGGACGCTTACAATACGGCTACGTTTGGAGGGATAGCGTAAACGTGCAGCCGCAGAAATGCTGGTCCACGTTTGGTTCTGGAAACGTTTGATTCCGTGGAACAAGGGCATCGGGACAAATGAAATTAACTGGTCGATCTCCAGGAAAGAAAGCGAGTCGTAACGTCTCGACACGTTTTGTATTACGAGCGCAAGGAACTCTCAGCAATTATGTAATCGAGGAAAGAAAGAAAATGTAAGGTTATCGTATCTTCGAAAGAGGAGAAAGTGTGTCTCGACGCGCTTTGTATTTGAAGCGCAAGAGACTCTCAGCGTTCAAATGAGATGAAAATTATAGAAAAATTCGACGTGGTAGAACGAAAAACGCAATTAAATCCGATCTATAGCGTTAGGCGGATTCTCTAGGATTTGGAAACTCGATTCACGTTGCGTCAACGTGAAATCTTGAAGTTTGGTTTATCGGATCCTACGTTCGCGAGCGTTTAGAGGAGAGTTTGAAAACCGATTAGGAGCGTATTTGGAAGCATCAAAACTAACAGATACCTTGTGCAGTCCTGCACGAAACTCGACCGTTCGGGTTCCAAAGTTGCCGGTCGCCTCGCCACGACATTTATTAACCTCGCCGTCAAAGTTAGCCATCGGAGTATCTGTTCCGCTTCCGGATTATCGAGGAGTATCGGGAAAGCAGAGATTAGCGTTGCCCGACTCGCCTAAGCTACGAACAATGAAATCTATCGAAGCAACGATCGTTTTCGTACGTTCATTAATTTATCGTAATCAATTAAGGAGATATAGAAGCATCGAGATCTCTACCTTTAAGGGTTCTGTTTCGTTATTGTCGACGATTAATTCCCATCGAATATCGCTTTCAGACGTGACGTTGCGATTCAGACCGACCAAAGGAAAGCTATTCAGGGCCCACGAAACTGTTATTCCTGCGGAGTTACGATGATGCCCATGGTAAACTCCGCTGTAGTTCGTATTTAGAGAACCTAGGAAAACACTCGAGTTGTTGCGACAGCCGTCCACAACCGTGTCTATGTTTCAGATTGCTTCAGGAGCTATTGTGTTCTCGCGGCGGTCCGTTAATAATAACGTGTATTTAACTCGAGAGTGTCATGATTTCTTTCAAATGATGCTTCTCCATTATACGGGTCCATGAAAAACGAGACTATGCAAATTATTACCTGCCCCGACTCGAAACGTAAACGTTACATGGTCACGAAAAATCAAAGAAATATTTCAATTTCGCAACATTCGTAACGCTTCCTTGAACCGCGAAAAAGCTTCGTCACTAGGGACCCGCACGAGAAACAACAATGAAACGAGGAGCAACCAATGAGGGTCGATAAGATGCATCAGCGTGCAGCGGATATCTTGGTATCGCGATCGAAGGACATCGATACTATCGAGGCAGCTGTCGCGTGCCGTGGCGGTGTCCTCAATAGCGGCGGTCGTCTCCTGGTTGAAGTCGACAACAAAGGGTATCCCCCGTTTTGTTAATAGTTGTTCGTAATGGGAACTGAAAGGGGTCCTGGTACGAGTCGTCGTGCAACGTTAAATATGTACATGCGAGCTGACGTATCGCGGGGTGCGGACAAATCGTGCATAGTGTTCTTTGTAATAGAACGCCGACCGCGGCTTACAAGATTAAACTTGTATGAAGTATCGATGATTAAACCATCGATGAATTTTCCCGGATGAAAGGTTACCAACGGAACACACAACGATATTTGAGGTTTTCAAACGTCAGAGTTATCGACTCGATTTGTTCCACAGAATTATTATTATTATTATTATACACAAATATACAAAATGTCTGTACAAAAGTTGACTCGTGGCTACAGCGACGATAATTCTTTGCATATTATAATAGAAATGTGTGGTCAGAGTAAGTTTGTTGGTAGGTTGAATGTGATAGTATCATTGATTTCATTGAAAAATTGTCTCGAGATACCGAAACCTCTGGAATAAGTACGGTTTCTCGAGCAGCTGTAAAAATTAACTCGCCGTACAAAGAGAACCAAGGGAACGGTTGTCATGTGAACGTTTGTCGCGATGCGTTTACGCTCTCGAGGATTGGTGTTTCGCACAAAAGTGCGGGGCAGGTAGACTTTACGTGGAAGCGGATTGGATTAGGATTTGGCAGAAAGAACGGTAGAGTAGGTCGAACCCAATTTGCATGCCATAAACCACGTCTGCTCGTGAGATTTAATTTTAAAAGAGTAACGAAAAGCCTGCCATGCTCCCGCGCTGCAACTTTTTCTTCTTCGAGCGACTTCTCGCGGTACACAAGATGCCTCAAGAGCAGAGGTGGCGAAAATTCTTATTCTTATCAAAATTCTCGCGATTACTTAAAAACAATCCAGGCATTTCTTTAAAACGATCTTTTAAAAAGTGATTAAACATTTGTTGTCTAAGCCGAAGTTATTTTTATCTCATACTTCCATGTCTTTACTTATGTCTTTACTTACGTTTAATAGTTGTCGAACAAACGAGTTAGTTCCAATAGTTATGAAACATATTGGACGTTAAGACGATACACGTCGAGCGACACACTTGTTCGACAGTGTGTCGCCCTTTTGGTAGGGGTGAGTCGATCTTCGAAACGAGCTCAGCGGGGAACAAATAGAACGTGAGCATCCTAAGTGAATAATAAACAGAGCAGTGGGGTTAGACATCCGCGTTGGGGGTGCTACGCCGCGTTTAAGGTGCCCATATTGGTCCCCTAGCCTACGGGCTCCTTTCTTATTTATCCTACTACTGGTCGCGGCGACCCTCCGCGCAGAAATTATTATTCGGCTATTATACGATGATTACCCAATAGTACGTGGGTGTAACACGAGAAATAAGTGTGCAGTTTCATGCCACGTCGGCTCCGATGACAGAACGAATAAACCCGTCGAGTGTTACCACGTATTTAACGCGACGTCGAAACACATGTTCGTACATCTGTCCTCGTATTCGTCTCCTTATCAGTGTGGCCCCGAGGTAGCTCGCATGTTCCTTTTTACTCGATACGTATATACTCGAATCGACGCAACGAGAACGGCTATGTTCGCGTCGTTTGTATTAATATATTTAACGTTGCTATATTTTTTAAATAGATTTTACGTGAACCGAGAAACTTGTACAGAATCATACGATTGTATAAAATTATTTGATATCACGAGTCAAGAATTCATTCGGAGACACGATTAAAATAAATCCCTGCGGTCGATCAATTATGCCAGTCGCCACACAGATGGATTGACAAACTCGGAGGATTTTACGAAAATGGAATATAATCGCGAACCTTGTCCCTGGAGGATAGTGGACGATTGCGGTGGTGCGTTCACTATGGGTGCCATTTGCGGTTCACTGTTTCAAGTAAGTCACGCGTACGCCTACGTTAAGTAGAATCAACGACGATTTACCCTCGGACCTCGGTATTTCTTGTCTCAGAGCGTCATCGGGTTCCGAAACGCGCCGTCGGGGATCAACAGGAGGCTCTTCGGAGGGATGATGGCGGTAAAGAATCGAGTGCCTCAAATAGCAGGCAACTTCGCCGTCTGGGGTGGTCTTTTCTCCGCCATCGAGTGCACCTTGATACGGTGTCGTTCGAAGGACGATCCCTGGAACTCCATACTGAGCGGTGCCCTAACCGGTGGCGTCCTGGCGGCCAGGACAGGCATCCCGTCGATGATAGGAAGCGCTACAGTTGGTGGTGTCTTCTTGGCCCTGGTCGAAGGATTCGGCATCATGGCCACGCGACTTCACGCCGACTCCTTCGCCCAGCACATGCAGATGTACGATGTGGAGAACCTGCCAGAGTTTCACATCTCCCCCAGGACGAGGGTGGGTTTCGGCGGGGCACCCATAAACGAGGACATTCCTCCCAGACAGATAAACGGAACCAACGGTATGGAGGTCGACAGATTCGGCAAAGGTAGATGAGACCTCTCGTGAACTCTGTGTCGATGTACAGTTCACATGTTGCCTCGCGTTATGTACCTTTCCGAGAGTTTATTTTGCGAAAAAAAATTGTCTTTGTACATTCCTGTCGTTTTTAACAATCCATCGACGCGCTTCACCGCGGCGTTTTATTGGAAATGGGGGCGACATCGCGCGGGAGGACAGATTTTCAGGCAGATAACTTACAAACGTCGAATCGATCGGAGGCTCCTAGACTCCGAGAGCGATATACCGACGGTGAACTCGTACCTTGAGAGCTCCGTAAGAATTTAATTGTACCTTGATATTGATATTCTCCTTTTTTTTTTATACATAAACGGCATGTTGCATTGCTAATAAAGTGTTGCCTAAAATGTTTGTATCTTCGACTGAATGCATTCGACATTGCACGTCCAATCGCGAGGAGGATGCACCGTTGAAGAAGACTGGTCGACCAGCGGACGGTTGTCCAGCGTTCCATTATCCTCGACGTCTCTGTCTCGTCGACGACGAAAACAGATCCCAAAGATAACGCAGCAGACTCTCGATGGCTCGAAATCGTTTATTTCGCAAGGTGGTAATGACTGTTTTGACAGCGGCTCGCGCTCGTACCAACGCGGACAATCCCGTAGGTACTGCGGTTCTTCAACCGCCATTGTTGCCGACACCAGATTGGAATCAATATTTACACTCGAGCCTGTGTAAGCTGCGGATTACCGAAGGCTCAGCCGATCCCTCCAACCCTTTCCCGATTGAGTCAGCACAGTCAGCAGCAGCAGTTCGACGATTTCCTCTTAAAGGGGTTTTGGGCCAGCGACGATAGGTCCCTCGACAACCCTCTCGTGGTCGTTTGAAACCATTAAACACAAATTTTTTTAATAATAATGTCCATCTAACAGATGATCGGACGAGTCTTGAAGTATGGCAAACTTCCTTCGTATGGAGGTCTCACGGGAAAGACACGGGGGAGCTCTGAGCAATTCAAGGGGTGCTCTCGATAGGTATTTAGTTGGGGTAAGTATTGAGCAGCGACAATGAGAACTCAATCGTTATTGTACCAAGACTGGACGACGATTAGGGGCGCGTGGTACACGTGAAAAGCTTTCATGGGAGATCTTTCGATGGCGTGAATAATTTCGAATTGGATCATCGCGGCTGATCTGGGAATAGGGGTGGAAAAAGAGTGTGCGAAAAGACAAACGCGAGCATTTGCCGAAACTCTGTAGACATGGGAACGCAAAGGGTTCAAGCACGCGTTTATTATTTCTTTTTCTTTTATTTATACGCCTTACAATTAGAAGTTTAGAACCTTGCAAGCAAGCGATACATAATATTTTTAAATGTTTAAGTTATTATTTTTTTTTTAGCGATAGTAGCGCCATCGGTGGGAAAACGCCCAAGCTTGTCGAGAAATAGTTCCATGTATTCACCGCCAGATGGCGCCACCACTTTAAAGTCTAGGTGAAAATATTAAATGCAAACAAACCTCACTTAAACTCTATTTAATCAAAATTTGAATTTCTACAAAGCTTGTGATATAGTTCTACTTTCATTATCTAATGTATTAAAGCAGTTTTCGTAAATTTTAAATATTACTAAAAATCACCCTAGCGGTGGCGCCATCTTCTAACAATCTGCCCAAGTTTGTCGCCAAATAGTTCCATTTTCTCAACCTTAGATGGCGCCACACCTTCAAAATTTAAATGAAAAAATGAAATGCAAAAAAATCGTACTTAAACTGAACTTAATCATGATTTGAAAATCTAGGATGCTTGTACTATAGTTAAATTCTCATTATTTAATGAGTTTACGATGTTTTCGTTAATATTAAATATTATTAAAATCACGCGGCGGTGGCGCCATCTCGTAACGAATCCCCCAAGTGTGACCAGAAATAGTTTCCCTTGTTCACCGCTAGATGGCGATACTACATAAAGAAGAAATTAAATGTTAAACAAACCTTATCCTCGCTCAAGTTTAATATGCGTCGAAGCTCTGTTAAGCTTAAGTAGCACGGTTAAATTGTTTTATTTATTGTAATAAACCAGTTTATGCAAATATACTGTAATGTCGGTATTTTTATACTAGTAGCGTTATCTAGGAGTGAGAAAGAGAAACCATTTCGCCACAAACTTGAGCAGTTTGTTACGAGATGGCGCCACCGCTAGGGTGATTTTTAGTAATATTTAAAATTCACGAAAACTGGTTTTATACATTACATAATGCAACTATAACTGTACTATAAGCATCGTAGAATTTCAAGTTTTGTTTAAATAGAGTTTAAGTGAGGTTTTTTTTGCATTTAATATTTTCACCTAGACTTTAAAGTGGTGGCGCCATCTGACGGTGAATACATGAAACTATTTCTCGACAAGCTTGGGCGTTTTCCCACCGATGGCGCCACTAGGACAATTTTAAATTAAATATTTCAAAATATTATGAATTTTTTATTTGCAAGATTTTAACCTACCAAGGCATATAAATGAAAGAAAAAGAAAATAAAAAACGCATGCTTAAACCCTTTGTGGTCCCATGTCTCCGCATACTCTTTTTCCACCCATATTCCTGGATCAGCCACGATAATCCAAATCCAAATGATTCGCGCAACTGTTAATAACACAAATTATAGTTGGTTATGTGTAATTTTATATTGATTGCAACAACAGATCCATGGTGTCATTAAAAAGCAACTACATCGGATACATTGTCAACTACATTGACAAATTTCCCTGTATCGCGTTCACCCCACATTTTCCTGAAAACGTCTAAAAACGAGCGCATAATAAAGCCATTACCGAGACGATTATGTTCACGTCTCGATACATGGTTATTCCCAGGCACGTGACCCACACAATTTACCACCGATGGTTATTATTCCATTGTACTCTTTGCCTATTATGGCCTTTACGACCAACCGCGAACAAAACCCTGAAATGGTAAATACTTACCCCCCGGTTGAGACTAACTATTTTTCCTCCAGTCTACCCGTATCCTCGTTTAGGTGCACAGAAACGTTATTATACTAAACGTCATCTACATCGTACAATTTAATTATTGCACGATCCGAATGAACGTCACCCTTAAAGATTTACCTTTTTTTATTTTACAAGTAATTACGCTTAAACACATTTAATTGCATAATTCAAGAATATTCCTCTCGTGCCCTCAGAAAAGGTGCGTAATAGGAGAACGGGGAGGCAACCCTCGGTTAAGTGTTAACTGCGCCAACAAACCCTGTTCCTTTCGCAACCCCTTACAGCGTGGCAAAATACACGATGACCCTTTCCACCCCATGATCACTCGAACCTCAAGAGAGCCGGCATTCAAAGGATCGTAAACAAACTCCTGATCTCGTTTTAAACGTTTCCTACGCGTGCAAATAAAGCGTCGATTCGATAAAGCACTCCGTCATCTACGTGTAACTAATCGGAATCGATTGCGTTCTGTTTCTCTAAGTAAAGAATAATGGCGAGTCGAAGTAAAACATCCTTTTCGTTCAACAAGCATTGCATTCTTTCGTTGTGTAGTTCGTCAACGACTCGAAAATCTCTCGCAGGATTCGCGATCCTGCCATTTTCGGGGTGAACTCGCGCAGAAGGATATCGCAACAGACGAATAATCGAAAATCGATTCGACGAAGAGTGCTGACCACAACGTTACCTTCCACGATTGCTTCGGAATTGTTTCAGATTGCCATTCGAGTGGCAAACACGTTCGATTCAGGCAAGCAGGTCTGGCTTTCGGCTCGAAGGGTAGTTCCATTGGCAAGGAACGGAACGGAGGGGGTTATAATCTGTATTATCCCTCGACTATTAGTGTCGAGAGGATCGGGGGCGCGCGGATTACACTTATTACGGTAGATACGTCGAGTAACATTATGCGTAACGCTTTGCGAGCACCGTCGCTCGCCGTCACCCCGTTTCCCCCTTAATTAAAATCTCGCTCCAGGTAAGACGCGGTACAGATTTACGAGATTTTCCACCTAACGTCGATTTAGTTATCTTTTTAACTTTGTCATTTAATCCATGAATTGTCACGGACACGGTTTCGCCTTACTTTCACGATTAATGTGTTTAGTTATTTAGTAAAAAGATCCGTCGATGACTTAATACGTACTTTTATTAGAAAACAATGGTTTTCCGATCTACGACGATGTAGATCCGATGCAGAACCAGTTTAAGGAGTTAGGTGGTTCGGGCAAAAGGTGTTCCACAGGTAGAATACAGATTTCACCCCTCTGTGGGGTGGCAAAAGGTGCAACGCGAATCGCTGAACGTCGCAGTCAGGAAATCATGACATACACCGTGGATTTGGGTCGTAAATCGATAAATCGGTGGTAACGACACCCTTCAGGGGCGTGAACAGGCTTCGCGAAGGGGCACCCTTCCTTCCTGTTGCCGGTGGACAACAACTGTTGGCCTATTAAACTAATTGACTGCGCAGTATGCCAGTACCCGCAGCGATGCCTGCACGGTTACACGCCTAAAGTCGTATCCGTGGACGTTTCCCATATGTAACATGCGCGTGTCGTTACCGAAACTTCGGCGACTCGATCGCAACACCCCTCGTGCCGAAATTACCCACGCATCATCGCCTCCAAACAAACGAAGTCGAAATCGAAACTCGTTATGCTAATGCTCCCAAGTCGACCGTCAAGATTGCAGCAGTTCTCTTCTGCTGCGACATTTTAATGTTATTCTTTAACTAATTTTTTGGACTTTTTTAAAAAGCTTATATTTTATCAATATTTTTAATCGTATATTAGACAAATTCAATTTTATTTAACTCAGGATTTAATTGTAAGAAAAGTCACAGAGAAATTTTAGTTCTTTCTGTGCAGATTTCAAGGTAGACTATGTACAATGCTACGGTCCACAATTTGAAAAGTCTCGATTATATCAAGATCCTCAAGATGCCAGGTTCGCGTGTCTAGGCATCTTTTTGGGGATTCCCCTAACGAAACATCGTTTAACGAACCGCAAAGAGGCTGGTGCAGTTTATACCCCAGTTGGCCATTATGATTTCTGCCATCCCTACGTGTAATAAATATTGTTGCGGACCCTCGCCAATTATACCGGCAATATTTCTTTCTCTTTCGCGCATCGTTCGAGAGACAAGAGCGACGATGTACGAACATAAGGTCGTGTCTCTGTTTCACCCCCCGTTTCTGTCGCCCTTTGTGCAGTGAAGTGTCCCGAAATCCGTGACTGCATTATTTTATTAATGTCAACGATCGTCGGTGGCGTTTCTGTGAACACACTCGCCGTTGTCGATCCTTAAAAAATGATATTCCGTTCTGGTTGCTTCGACGAAGCGTGAAAGGCCACCTCATGTTCTTTCTACGACCTAAAACGTAAGGATGGAAACGATATCCGATCTTAGCGATACGGATAGGTGGTGTTTCGTGAAATGCTATCCGTTCAAATGTCCAATTATTCTATAAATTAAAAAGTAAAACGTGATATGTTCAAAAAGCGTACAGATACCGTTTCTTTCAGGGTTGTGCTTAGGTATATTTCAACTTCTGTGTTACAAAGGGTGGCTTCTCGATG